TCTTTATTGTTATCATTATTTGTTTTATATTGTTCCATATGCGTTATCAAAAAATGTCTCTTTGAACATAATGTACATTTTACTGGAACCATACAGATTTTTACATTATGTCCTGATTTCAGGCAACAAAAACATCTGTTATGAAATAGAGTTGTGTGTGTGTGTGTTAGTTACCGACACATTTAAAATATTCATTACTGTTACATTTGCTTATACAAAATAGACATGCATTACTTGAATTATTTTCTTTAACAACAAATAAATGAATAGCACCAGCAGTTTCTTTATTTGATTTCAAATTTACCCATTTGTTTTTCCTTAAAGGATTTATTTTCAAAATTAAGACTAGAAACTGCAATTGAAACCTATTGCTCTGCTTTGACTTCGTTTTGGATAAATTTCATTAAATATTCAAAGTGATCTTTTGATGTTTCTCCAATTGCTTGTCTGTGATAGATTCTTATCAATTTATCTGGAACACATGATTCTGCCATTGGAAGCAGAATTGCATTATATGTTTCATTTGCTACACCTAAAAGATTCTAAGCTGTCCTACAAAGTGGGAAGGTGAGAAATGGAATTTGTCCTAGTATTTTGAACAACTAATGAGAAAAGTTCTCTAATGTATACTTCTGTTAATAAATCTTTTTTAGACAAATGGTAATCTTAAATCTTCTGTTACGATCAGATAATTATCTGCAGTTGCAGGCTAACTATCTACTAATTCTCAAGCTTAAGAATTTATCACAGTTGATTGAATAAGGTACTGGAATTTATCTACAGGATCTATATTGTCATCTCCATGTGTTTTTTAAATAAGGCCCAAAATGCATCCATTTTTAATATTTCAATCAAATTTCTTTAACTCAATTTGCATATGATCATTTTGTCTATTTGTGGAAGAATATTATATTTGCAAAATATTTACATTATCTGAAGAATCTGCTACACTCTCAACATCAGTTTCTTTATTTTTCTTGTCTAAAATTATTTTAACCTTAATACAGTATAAGTCCAGAAATCCGCAAAGCCTGGGACCAGAGGTTGTGTGGATTTTAGGATTTTGCAGATTTCAGGACAGAAAAGATAAATCATAATATTCAGACTAAAAGTGCAAAATAAATAAGGCATATTAGATACTTTTAATTAAACTGTTATATACATTATTGCAATAACTTATTATATGCATTAATTATTATTACATATGTAAATTGATTATATTATTCATTGTATTATATGAACATAGCATTGAGGTTTGCTGATTTCGCCTCATGCAAAGATTTCCGGTCTTAGAATCACTGTTGCTGTAAAATTTCAACAGCTTTTCTTTATTTTTCCGTATATCATACACAATCGTGTCCCAATTCCATATGATTCTGCTATAAACCGAGGAGTAGCACCTGCCTCCATCTTTTGCAGAATTACTGTCAATGCAACATGTTTACATTTTTCAATGTTGCAAGCAGTAAAATCATGAGTGCGTTTCTTATCTGTCGTTGTATTAACAAGGGCTGAAATTTAAAATATTCTTAATTTATCCACAAAATATTTGGATAAAAAAAAAAGGGGCAGCACTAAATAATCTCATGAAATAACAAAGCTCAGAAAATACAACAACGTGAATCGTGAACTTGAAAGACGAGTTGAGTGAATCATCTGCTTTTTTACCTCGATGCAGATTAGAGGGGAAAAAACTTTTATCATGATCTCAATAATTTGGTATTTCCATTATGACTCATTATTATTCGGTAATTATGACATCGTTATTCAGTAAGTATTTTTTCTTCGATATTTCATACTCAATGTTGCGGTTTCCAGAACCTATAACTGAATGTTTATATTTTGAGAGGCAACACGGATTTTAGGTCGGCAGGGTTTTGGTATTTGACTGTATAATTATTTAAGTAATGTTCAACAGACTTACTTTCATTTTCTAAATCCTCCTCTGTCATGTTAGTTTCTAACATTCCATCCAATATTTGATTGTTCAAGCTTTGTAATTCTTCACATTTTTTTCTGTAAAATCTGGATTGCATTTTGGTGACATCATTGGAACCCTCTTTATTGGTGTTTCCATATATCTCATGAGTAATCATCATAAATGAACTTTTTGTCACTTTCCTCGATTTAATGATCTTTTCCATGTTTACAAATAATGTCCTATTGCTAGAAAGTCATATGTTATGGAAACACTATGATCATTTACTTTTCTTAAACAGACTCAACGAAGTTGTATTAGAAGGCAAGGAAAGTACTCTTCTCAAAAGTGATATAAACATAAATTTATTTATAGAAAATTCAGGTTCATTACTAGTTATGTTTTCACATACGGCAGTCTTACGAGAGAAAAACACATTGTTGCCAGTCTGCTGCATCTAAGTATTGGTATCAAAGTGTGTGGCTTGTAAATAGCCTACAATTACAATTGATAACCTTAATAAGTATATCATATGAAATGTAATTATTGGATTTTATATCAAAAGAATAGCTTGTACTGCTGTGCAGAAACTGTTGCTGGTTGTAAAAAAACCACATATATTTACCATGAAAGAAGAAACCTTGTACTGAATTTTGCATAAAGTATGTTTTAACTGACACAAATATATAAATATTTGGAACTACTCTTATATGTGCCCTCAGGTCATCAAATTTCTACCTACATTTTTTGTCTACATTTTGAATTTTAAGCCTAAAATGTCTCCAAAAATCGCGGTTTTCACACATGCAAAATCTGCGTTTTGAAGACACAATTTAAGCTAAAAAAAACGAAACGAAAACAAAAAATTTAGGTAGCAAAAACATAAAGTTTCTAACCAAAAATATCTGACAAGAATCCATGTACACAGCGATATGTTTTAACTTCAAAAAACATCTACGAATTGCACATTCTAGGCAGTGAAGGAATCTATGAACTATGCACACCTCGCTTCAATAAATTAACATAACAATAAATTTCAAAAAATGTGTACACAGCATGTACACAGCATTCTGTTTAAACTTCAAAAAAATCTAGGCATTGCACACAAATCAACCAAATAAACTAAACTAAATTACAAACAATTCAAAAAACAACAATTACAACACAAATTCATAGTAAAAAAACAATGAACATAACATTGTACAAAATGAAAACAGTAAAATAAAATGTACTTACCATAATACATTCCTGAATAAAATTTCGCCAGTCACACAACGTCTCTGAACAAAAGTGCGATTTTGCTATATCAAATGTCTTTCTAAGATTCAAAATTTCAAAAGTAACGATAAAAACTTCTTCCAAAGTTCACTTACTACATGAAAACCACAATCCAAATCTTAAACTCCACTAACAGCCACATACTTTACCAGCAACCATTTGACTGCAAATCCGCACAAGAACTATCAAAAACGCCCTTCTTCGTCCGAGATCTCATAGCAGCTTTGCATTTCGGACTCCGTTTCAAAAGTCCCACAGAAATTCCAAAAATACACATCAATCCTCATAAACACACCTGTGAACAAAAGAATCGTTAACAACTCCAACATTGTACCTTTTAATACTAAATTTACTTTCCACACAATCTAAAATATGCGACTGAAATCTTGCCATCACGTCTATCATTGCAACATAGGCCATTTTAAAACACGCACAACATGAACCAACAAGCAATTAAACCACTCCAGCGAAAGATTTTCAATGTCAACAGGGTTGCCATACAACACGCAATCATGCCAAAAACCAGCACAGAAAACATATCGCCACCTTTGGTGATGTTAGGGCACATATAAGAGTAGAGCCAAATATTTCAACAAAATGAGTTTTCATTGGCACAATACATGTTGCATATGCATGGCATTTTAATCGAAAAGGTGCGCATTGTGTCATGGAGATGTAAATTTTTATATGATATGAAAAAGCACGGAAATGTGGATCAATACAAATTTGACCTTTAAAAATTCTGAAACAAGATGTCATAGTTGTGAACATGAAATGTTCCATCAGTTCAAGGTACAGATTAATTGTTGTTTATGCTAGCAGAATATGAGGTTTTATTCTGAGTGCATTACTTCTGTATAAATCTAGAAATAATATTATCATAGGCAAGTACACATTAAAAATTTCAAAAAATGAAAACAGGGAAACTTCTGAATACATATTAAAGAATTTATCGCATGCTAAGATGATGTTTTATAACACACTAAAATGCAAAGGTATTATTTCTAAATATTTCACTAAAAGAGTTATGCTTGGAAGACAAGTTTGAATTTTTGCTTGGCATTGAGAAAAAAATCTAAACTCTTCCTAATAATTTCTGAAAATGTATCACTTATTCATGCTAACAGAGTTGATTAACCTTTAATGAAATACGGGCACATCATCAGATTGCTGCTATTCCATTGTGATTAAAATCCCATTCAGCTAGTGTGAGTAGACTTGTATTGAAGAAAGGAACATTGTTAACTCAAACCTACAAAAATTTAGATTTCACAGAGGAAGAGACACTGAAAATAACCAAATGAAATATTTTTACCATTTTTTGAAAAAGGATGGTATTAATGAAAAAATCATCATCATTCTGAATTTCAGTAAGGCAATTTTGAGATATGAATCAAAAGTCACATAACGTATTTTATGGTGGAACAGTGATATTAATTTTATGAAGTGTGCAATCACTGCAAAAAATTTCCCTAGAGATGAAAAAAAAAAATTAGAAATATCTGAGATGAATGGTTGAAAAATTAAAATTTATTTTTTGAAAATCATTTAAAGTTTTTTTAATTTAAAAAAATCATCTTTTTTCAAACAAATAAATTAAAAAATAAGAATATAAATCATTTCATTCTTCCAATATTTTCAAAAGTGTATTAATAGTAATAATCTTTTTTTAATCCTATGCATCTGAAAATGACACACTAATCAATAGCAACTATTACTTTTTTTTTTTTTTTTTTTCTTTACATACATCTTGAGATTACTATTTCTGAATTTTAAAAACTATTTGTATACATTTCTTTTTCAGATATTCTGATGCTTGTGGCTTTGACGTCATCGGTTTTTGTCGTTGCAGAAATTAAAAAATTTATAGAAAGAGCTATTCTTCGAAGACAAACAGAAAAAAGATTCTTTGACTCTGATTATGTATAAATATTAGTTTAATTTTCTGCAGAAATTTTTCATTGTAGAGTTTTTATATGACTGTAAATTTGTTCTTTTATTTGTAGCTTAAATTTTGTCTTTATTCTTTAAACTGCTATTTAATTTAATTTTTTTTAATGAAATATTATCATAAGATTGAAAATGTGAAAAATATTCAATGTGCATAGTAAGACTTTGTTTTTCTGCTTATATCTAACTGTTTCAGGTTCATATTTCTGTTTTATTATTCAGAACATATTTTATTAAATAGTGCATCATTCTTCAATTTCTTATATTTTATAAATCATAAAACCATTTTCACAATTGCCTTAAAATGTTCACGCTTTCACCATGCTTAAGCAAAATTTTTGGATACTGTAAAGCTATTTTAATTGTGTCAAAAAGTGCTAGGAAATTACTTTGTATGTGTGCATGTGTTTGTGTATATATCTGTACATGGTATTTATTGCATAATGTGCATCAAATTGCACTTATGGAGTTTCTGTGATACAGTGTTTCTGCTGAGATAATTATAAAATATTAAACTGTGGCTTTATTTTTTTTATTTCGGCATTTAACTTTTTTCTGTTTTTTACCAAAATTTTAAAATAGCTTGTGTACTTACTTTAGTAATGTATGTATGAAAAAAATGCTCAATTGTCTATATTATTGGCCTCCATTACTTTACTTCATGTATGTAACTGAAAATAAAGACTTTAATTCAAATCACATAATGGTAAATGTAATGAAAGTATTTTATATACTTAGGTAATAGAGATTTCAAGACAAGCAGTTTTTTGAACATGTGGAGATAGATTAAAAAAAAAAGTTGTAGGAATAATATAAAAAAGCCATATATATATATATATATATATATGGTATATGTATATATATTAAAATACCATTTAGGAAAATAGAAGTTGTTGAAGTTATCTATGAACTGCTTATCTGCTGAACAGTCTGAACTAGAATACCTTTTTAGTGCAAGATGTAAATCATTTAACCATTTGTTACTGATTATGTTTTTACCCATCTGAAAAAGTGTGCTTATATATTCAGTACAACAAAAAAGTGTGGATATAGTTTCTCAACAAAGTTGCTTTGTATATTTCACATCTGTTTTAATAAAAGCAGAAGAATAAATTGATGACAGCCATGATATTTCATTTCACTCTGCTTATATAAAAAAATTGTAATATTTTTCGTGAAAATAGTAAAATGAAATAGACTAAAAATCTATTTCTTGTAAATTACGTTGACTGTAAGATCATCTTCAGCTTTATGTATTGTGTATAGCTCTTTATTCATTGCATAATTTTTATATTGTAATTTCTAAGAAATTTTAAAATGTGTATCAAAATTTAGTATCAAAAATGACAAAAGATAAGATTTTTTAAACATACTCATAAATTTTTACTTTTAAATATCTCGCTTCACAAATTACGGACCATTTCAGTAAAATCATAGCTCAGTACATGTTGTAATACATTGCTTTTCAATGTATTTTTTTTTACTTTGTATATAGATTATGTATTTTGTATATATACTGTTAATTGTTGCTGTAAAAAACGTTTTGAAGGGTAATTTCTACATATGTGTTTATATTAAATGAAGAATTTGTATTTATGTGAGAGGAATGATGCCAACATAATGAAATATTTTAATGAGCTATAGATAGTTCCTTTTTCTGTAATATTAAAACTTAAATTTCATATCTAGTTCGAACGTTTACAAATTTTATGAATTTCTAACTACAAATTGCAGGTTTTTCTATCTTAAAACATGATTTGTACAGAAAACAGACAGTTATAAACCATAAGATTGAATCATTAATCTTTTAAAATTCTGTTACTATTTCCACCCCCTACAATCAAAAATTAAGTTAATAAGACAGTTACAAAAAGGGAGAGAAAAAAAGTGTTATATATGCCTTATACTGTGGTGAAATTAATAATATTTCACTTAATTTCCCTCCTCATTTGTGCATTTTTATGTGATCCTTATCGCTTCTGTATTTCTAATTCCTTCTAAATCTAGGTCTAAATTTCTTAAACTTCATCACAAAAGATTAAATTTGTGAGTTTATGCAGGTTTTCTTAAATTGATCGGGGATGTAGGGAAATGAGAAAAGTGTTCTAAATCATAGCTATTGCATTGTTTCCACTGCATAGAAAAGTATAGCTGAATTGTTTACGACAGTACTCCTCCCTCCTTCAGAAAATTTTAGGTTTACATTGTCCTGAGTATGGTATAAAGTGTTACTTTGGCCGTCATAACTCTGTTTCCTAAAGTGCACTAGAATAAACCGCTTCATAGCTTAGTAAATGGTCATTATAATATTCTAATAGAAGACCCGTTACTAGTTCTCAGTGGGACATATTTCTGACTACTAGTGCATCCTGCTCCAAAAAAGCTTCTTTTTAAAATTTCAAGAATCAATTTGAAATCTCTCTATTTATTTGCTTGTGCCCATCAGTAAGTTGTTAGAGGACTTATTCTGTAGTGATATCTGAAGTCTTCATGAAGTATGGTATTCTGGGATGATTGATTTCAGAAGGAAACTGTATTCTATGTCAGTTTTGGAATTGGCTATTCACTGTGTGAATATCAATGAGTGACCAAGCTGAGATTTCCAGTCGCATTCTTCCTGTGTGAAACCTTTCTAGAGATATCCTATTAAGTCATGTTATTCTATTAGTTATTATCATTCAAGGATTTTAAGAGGATCTCTCTTCTAAGAAACATTATGATGTATTTTTAACAGCTGTGCAACTCAGAAATGGAGAATCTGAGCTTAATTAATTTTGACTTAACTAATCTAAACACAAATTGCTACATATGTTGTTCGGATTACACATTAGCCATTGTGAATGTACAATACTGTCTATTGTATTTTGTATGTAATTTTTGTCTATGTAATTTTGAGTTCAGGGGATTTATGTACACAATACTTTTATTTTACATACAAAATAAGGGCATCTAGGGAAGATTCATCAGTTCCTAATAAGCTTAAACCTAGTATTACATAAGGAATTAACATTTGATTCTTTTTTTATAATTAGCTGCAAAGATTTAACAGCAGCAGTTTTTAATGGACTGTTGATTAAATTAATTTACATTAAAGAAAAAGCAGATTAGCTTAAATTCTAATCCAATGATTGGTACTGTGATATCCAATTATTGGTATTTTTAATATTTAAAAAAAACCTCATTAGAATAGGATAAGTGGAGTCCTGAGAGTAACCTACATGGGAACTTCTTATAGGTTGAATTATGACATTTGTGTTGCCAAAATATAGTATAATTATTCTGCCAGTAGAGATTATTTGTTTTATTTTTGTAAAAATATCAGCATCTTTATAAGTACTTTATGTGTATTAGCTATAAGGGGGCGTTTTTGTTTTTTCATGAGTTTAATTATTGTTACAGAAATCTGTACTTGGATTTGAAAAACGGTGTTCATATGTAATGTATGATAATCACCACTCTCTTGGCATTTATGCATCAAGAAATTTATTGCATACTATTATGTAAGAAACATTTTTATTCAAACACAAATTTTCCTGCAATATACAGACTCACTATGTTAGTAATCACGCAAAAAGATAATAAAATTGTCATGACCTGCCTTTTTATATTTATATTTAATTTTTATAAATGATTCACATTTGATATTGGTCACATACTATAACTTATAGCTAGTGTTTCATGCATTAGAAGCTCTAGATTATATTAAAATATTATGAATTTTGCTTTTAAAAATATGACAGAAAAATCAGTCCTGAAAGTTGAAATCTAACTTTTTTTCTTTTTTTTTTCATTATAGCTGTTAGTTTGTGTGTGTGGAATGATAAGTACATTGTAAGTAAGTAAGTAATCGTATGCTGGATTAAGAATTATCTATTTTGAGATCATTTGTAAAATTTTTCAAAATGACTTCTAATTAACTGGTTACAAATGTATTGGATCCTGAGTGACAGAAAGTTTTTTTAAAAAATTTTTTATAAAATAGCTTTTATTTAAAATTTTGAAATAAATAATGAACTAAAAAGAAAAAAAAAGGGGGGCATCATTTGATTTAATGGAAATAGCAGGGTAAATAATCTGTATAGACTTCATTTGCATGTTTATATCAGAAATAATAAAAACAAAGAGCGCCCTTGATAAATTTATAATGGCAATGGCTTACAGTACAAAGTCCGTTTACAAAGTATTCAGGTTCCGGGCAATATAGTACAAAGTCCGAATCAGGACGTCCATTATCCAGAATGATCTATAATCCAGACCTCAAAGCCACAAACTTTTTTTTTTGTACGCTTTACGCATGCACGTTTAATGCGCGCTTCCGATACGCATGTGCCGCTTCCAATAATGAAGAAAGTGACAGAGAACGAAAACGAAAAACGTTTATTGAAATTGAGAAAATTTCGATTGACAAGTTAGTCGGTATTCTCGACACAGCAGTTACAGGACTTGAACAGTGGAACTTTGTAACTGAGCAAGAAAGTACGTTTGTTTATAGAATTAAAGAGAAAGTATTAGCACAAAAAATGAAACAACTTAAACATCTTACATTGAAAGAAATGTTTAATAAAGTAAACAAATAAATATGAAGCTTTTTTTTTTTTTTTTTTTTTTTTGTGTGTGTGTGTGTAAATTTTGATACCCTTTAGATCAAATTGCTCTTTATTTCATAAATTTCGTTTTAATGTCTTTAATTGTATAATTTCTGCATGCCATTTTACTAGATTTAAATTGATGATCTATAATCCGGAAAAAACCCTAATCCGGAATCGACAACGTACTTTGTACTGTATTTAATTAATAGATTTCAATGTTTAGGCATTCATTTTTTTATTATTTGTGGTATAAAATTATAAATGAATTTTATAAAGAAAATTATTTAATCTGTTGTCCCTATTAAACTATATAATGTTACATATTTATCTTAGCTGTTTTAGGGGATCTCATCTCCCAATATTGTAAAAATAGGTGATTCAGCTAAAATACATAATGGCCTTATGGCTTGATGAAATCATTTCTGGATTCAGAGTTTTAAAAAAGAGAGAAAAGCTGCTGAAAGACAAGGAGAGTGAAGGTTGCTGGGACTCAGGAAAAAGGTGAAGGTAATGATCAAAGATCAGTTAATTAGACATTAGTATGATATAAGTCATAGACTGAAAAATCGGCAGACTTGAAGTTAAGTTTAATAACATTGAAACATAATGTTCTGAATGAGTATCAACAGTATACAGCAGTCTTTTTTTTTTTTTCAACAGAAAAACTAGAAAAATTTTATGAATTGCATTAATATTTTAGTTAAACTTTGTTTTAAATGGTGTGTAACATATCATTTCTGTGAAACCTTTAAACAGTTCAGTTTTTAAATCATACAGGACCACTTTTTAGTACTTCATAGGAAATCAGGAATTAAATTCAGTTGAGGAAGGATAAAATAAACATTCTTTATTTTTCAGCAGCGGAGAGAAAAAGATAATAAATTAGATAAACAAAAGAGAATAGTCTTATAAAAAATGTGAAACAAAATTGATGAAGCTTTTGATAACGATTCAGGTTTGAAAAATTTTTACTTTTTTTTTCTTTCTGCACAATGTTAAGGCAGAGAGTAGTATTTTATTTACTATGTTCAGAAATTAATTTTATTACAAATTAGTTTTTTTTTTTTTTTTTCCTTCTGTATAAAATTATATGATACATATTTTGACTTTAGGCAAGAAGAGTGTTTAATTTCTGTTCAAAATAGTGTTTTTGTTATTATTTTTAAATTAATTGTACTTATTTTTTAAGCCAAAGGGTATTAGCCCAGAAGGGCTATTAGTCTTCAAATGGCATTTTGCGTCAAATCTCTATACATGGTTGGATCGCTTTTCAAATTGTTGACACCAAATATTATCGCCCTGTATTACATTTAAAGAAATTAAATATTGAAGAATCTGCATGAATGTATGTATGTTTCTCGCATTATAAAGAAACTATACTGAAAGCCACCAAATTTTGAATAATGGAAATAATCCACCTGAATATGGGAGCCCGAATCTTGAATTTCAAATTTGTTTTATTGTTTTTTTCTTATTTTTTAAACTTTAATAAATTTTTTATTAAGAAACTCGGTGATTTCAAAACTAGCAGTGGCAACACACTGTATGGAATAAAATATTCTTATCTCCAGTGTGCAAGACTGCCAATTGGAAATTCTAAAGGTATGCTGTTTTTAAATATTGTTAGCCCAAAGGCTTTCGAAACGTGTATGCATGTGTAAATTAAAAATACGCCCCTTTGGGCTAACATAATTTCTGGAAGCTTTCACTTTTTTTTAATAAAATTTATGACACTTATTTAAAGTATAGTGAGTGATTTGTAGGACAACCAATCAGATGATTTGGCACTTTGATAGATGTCAGAGAGGAGTTACCCCTAAAAGGGTTTGTTATATTTTAACTTGCAATGCACCTTCAGTTAGTAGATAGTATAATTTCCATGCTGCAGCTAAATGTTTTAAGACATAAATAATTTTTAACCAGCGTGCATAGATAGAATAGTTACAAAAGTAAAATTTTGAAATTGTAAGAAATGAATGCAAGTTCATAAAATTTATTATTTTTTATGAAAATATGTAATATATTTGTATTCGAAAGCTACTGCAACATGAAAGAATCAATAGAATGAAATGGCATTTAACAGAAAATGCAAAGCAGAGCATGATAAGGAATACAACAGTGAATGTGCATGTCTGGACTGAAATTATTGAAGGAAATGTGTAAATAGAGGGTTGCTGAGAAGCCACACAAGTTGTATTTTGCCGTCAATGACCTCAAAACTCTTTTGTAGTAATTAATTTGCCTCATTAGCATCAAACGACACTTTGTAAGTACTCTTAATTTCCCTAGATGCTAGTTCTAGCCCTGTGTGAGGAAGCATTTTGATTCTGCAATATTGCTGTTTGTAACGGATTATTGCATAATGCTATGAAATGATGTGAATATGGAAGTAGTGGATCATCAAATACGATAATATTTTGTTTTAATGTGCATCTCATTCTTATACCAGTGATGAGTCATTCAACTTGAGTATTAGCTCAGCATTCGAGCAGAAACTGTATGTATGGGATTGTCTGCTTCTATGATTCGATGGTATCTGCTTGTGCTAAGATTCCTTTATGGTAGACTCCTCTGACCATAAACCATTGATGCCTCAGGCTATTATGCAAGCAGAAACACGGAACAGTAGCTTGTATATTGGCAGCTGATTATTTTCTAATCTTGGTATAATGTGGATTACAATGATGGTTGCATATTTATACGCTGGTGGACAATTGCTAAGGACGGATGACAGTAACAGCGATAGCAACCACAAAATGGAAGACAAGGAAATTAGCAGAAGTGTGGGATACAGTAAGGCGTGTTCTGCATATGCAAATTTTGATTTGTCGACATTCCGAGGTGGGACAGCGTTCGAGGTAGACGTCTTATCGCTTCGCTCTCCGTTTCCTTGCGTTGCTACCACCCTCGCTACTGTACCGAGTTCATCGACCTCGCCTCATGGGCTCTGGGTTGTTTCTTCTTTGGCTTTCGCCTCGCAAAAGCGTCGCCCTTAACTCCACTGCTGCACCCTTCGCTAGATAAAACAGGTCGTATTTTATTCTTTCTTCTGATTTTCTTTATTCACGTGCTGATAAGGGTACCTTCGGGTACGGCCTCTAGTTAAGCCTTTTTCATACTTATTTGCCTCACATGATTAATCAATAACATGACAAACACAAATAACTGTAACTAATAATAACAAACATGGAAAATTCACCTCCAAACTCAGAAAATCCTCACATGAGACATCTCAATGATGAACCCAACGTTCTCCAAATATTAAGTCACAAAATTACTTTATCCAATGACGTCGAAACTACCAGATCCTTGGTGGAAGATATCCAAGATATCCGTAACGACCACAAATGTGATTATGTCCGCTAGTGATCAAAAAGAACTAAACTTTCTCCTTGTAAAAGCCAATTAATCAACTGCGTATGCAGGAAAACGAGATGGCCAATGCAAAAATAAACGAATTACAAACCTTCTAACGAAAAGCTCGCTAAACAATTTGAAGAGATTAAAAACTTCTGCGACATACTTCAATCCACTAGTGGTTTCAAAGAAAAAGAAAAATTGCGCCATAGACAAACGGATTCTGACTCCGATGAGGAGCCTTCCCTCAAAACCAGCAATCGATATAAACAATTAGAGAACCAAATAGACGACATGCATTTGGACAACGAAGATGAATCAGCACTCAGCTCACTACCACCCCAAAAGACCAACCAAACAAAAGTGACACCATTCCCGCAAATAGAAAACCAAACTCCAGCCCCAAAACAAGCAGAATTGATAAAGTGCCAATTATTGTCGTAGATGACGTACCAAAAGCGGATGAATTCTTAAAAAACTTAAACAAGCAAACCGGAAAAGAGATAACTGGCACCTTAAAAGGACGCCGCCTTGAAATACAGCCTGCAGACTCTGACTCACATCGATTCATTCGCAAAATAGTCGAAGAAACTAAGCTTAAAGCCCACACCTACTTATTGCCCGAAGATAAAGTTTTAAAAGTCATAATAAGAGGCTTA